ATGAGGAGGACGAATTTAAGAATCATCGGAATTCCTGAGAACGTGGAAAAGGAAAATGGAGCAGAAAGTGTGCTTAATGAAATTATAGAAGAGAACTTCCCAAATCTAGGGATTGAGGGAGAAATGTGTGTGGAGGAAGCTTTCAGATCTCCTAGATTTGTCAATGTAAAAAGACCTAGTGCAAGGCATATAGTAGTAAAAATGGCAAAAATGAAAGACAAAGAAAGAATACTCAGGGCACCAAGACAGAAGAAAATAACCTACAAAGGAACTCCTATCAGACTTTCAGCGGATTTCTCTACAGAAACCTTACAAGCTAGGAGAGAATGGAGTGACATATTCAAAGCTTTAAAAGATAAAAATCTTAAGCCAAGAATACTCTATCCAGCAAGAATATCCTTCAGATATGTGGGAGAAATTAAATCTTTTCCAGACAAACCAAAGTTAAGGGAATTCGTAACCAAAAGTCCTCCACTACAAGAAATTCTCAAGAAGGCTCTCATACCTGAAAAAAGAAAAAAAGGGAGAAAGGGGTCACAAACCACAGAGTAGGGAGACAGATAGATAGAACCAGGATAGGATAGCAAATATTCAACTATAGCATTAGGATAAAGGTAAAGAAACCACCATAGCAAAGACGATCTTATCACTCTAACTACAAATTCATAACACAAGTTGGAATAAGAGATGAAAATAATAATTTAGGAGGGGAAGAGCAAAGGGACTAAATCAGTCTAGGCCAAGTAAGTAAGAGACCACCAGAGAATAGACAGTATTATACATGAGCTTCTAAATACAAATTTCAGGGTAGCCACTAAAACAAACAGAACAGAGCCACAAAAGGTAAATAAGGAAAAATCTAAGAAACCCAGCATAAGAAATTGCAGAAGTCAATTGGTAGGCTAAAACACACAGGACGAGAAACAAAGGTAATGCAGGGAAGCCAGATAATAAGTGAGAGAATGAGAGCATTAAGCCCACATGCATCAATAATCACCCTCAATGTAACCGGATTGAACTCTCCAATAAAAAGGCACAGAGTGGCAAGATGGATTAAAGAATAACCTCCAACAATTTGTTTCCTCCAGGAAACACACCTCAGCCCCAAAGACAAACACAGGCTCAGAGTGAAGAGGTGGAAGACAATACTTAAAGCTAAAAGCAAGCAAAAGAAAGCAGGTGTTGCAATACTTATATCAGGCAAAACGGATTTCAAAATAATGCAGGTAAAGAGAGACACAGAGGGACAATATATAATGATCAAAGGGACACTTCATCAAGAAGAAATAACGCTTATAAATATCTATGCACCCAACACAGGAACACCAAAGTTCATAAAGCAACTATTAACAAACCTAAGATATCAAAAATAACACAATAATAGTAGGGGACCTGAACGCCTCACTCACAACCCTGGACAGATGATCCAGACAGAAAATCAACAAGGAAATGGTGGAATTAAACAAAAAGCTAAAACAGTTGGACTTAATAGACCTATATAGAACACTCCATCCAAAAACAGCAGAATATACATTCTTCTCAAGTGCACACAGAACATTTTGAAGGATAGACTATATGTTGGGAAACAAGGCGAGACTGTATAAATTTTAAAAAATTGAAATACTAACAAGCAACTTCGCCGATCATAATGCTATAAGGCTAGAAATTAATTACAAGAAAAAAGCTGAGAAAGGCACAAGGATGTGGAAACTAAACAATACGCTACTGAACAAGCAATGGATCATTGAAGAAATTAAAGAAGAAATAAAAAAATACCTGGAAACAAATGAAAGTGATAACATGCCATACCAGCTCATATGGGATACACCAAAAGCTGTATTAAGAGGAAAATTCATCACCATACAGGCACATCTTAAGAAACAAGAAAAATCCCAAATAAGCAATCTTAAACTACACCTAACCGAATTAGATAAAGAATAACAAACAAAGCCCAAAGTCAGCAGAAGGACAGAAATAATAAAAATCAGAGCAGAAATAAATGCTATTGAAATGTAAAAGGCAGTAGAAAGGATCAATGAAACAAAGAGCTTGTTCTTTGAGAAGATAAATAAAATTGGCAAACCCCCAGCCAGACTTACAAAGAAAGAAAGGGTGAAAGCTCCAATAAACAAAATTAGAAATGAAAGAGGAGAAATGACAACAGACTCCACAGAAGTACAATGGATTATGAGAGAATACTACAAAAAAGTATATGCCAAAAAAATGGATAACCTAGAGAAAATGGATAAATTCTTGCACTCCTACAATATCCCAAGCTCAGTCAAGAAGAAGCAGACAATTTGAACAGACCAATCACTAGGAAAGAGGTTGAAACAGCAATCAAAAACATCCCAAAGAATAAAACCCCAGGACCAGATGGCTTTCCTGGGGAATTCTACCAAACTTTCAGAGAGGATTTAATGCTTATCCTTTTCAAGCTATTTCAAAAATTTAGGGAGGATGCAACACTTCCTAACACATTCTACGAGGCCAACATCATGCTGATACCAAAGCCTGACAAGGACACCACGAAAAAAGAGAACTACAGGCCAATATCGCTGATGAACAAAGATGCAAAAATTCTCAACAAAATTTTGGCAAGCAGAATTTAGCAATTCATCAAAAGGATCATGCATCATGAGCAAGTGGGATTCATACCAGGGACACAGGGATGGTTCAACATCTGCAAATCAATCAACATGATACACCACATCAACAAACTGAGGAATAAAAACCACATGATCATCTCAATAGATGCAGAGAAAGCATTTGACAAGATCCAACGGCCACTTATAAAAACTCTGAAGAAAATGGGCATAGAAGGGAATGACCTCAACATAATAAAGGCCATATATGATACACCTACAGCCAACGTCATACTCAATGGTCAAAACCTGAACGCCATCCCCCTGAAATCAGGAATGAGACAAGGATGCCCTCTATCACCACTCTTATTTATCATAGTACTGGAGGTCCTGGCCAGAGCAGTCAGGCAAGAAAATGTAATAAAAGGAATCCAAATAGGGAGGGGAGAAGTGAAAGTCTCGCTGTTTGCAGACGACATGATCTTATATATAGAAAACTCCAAAGAACCCATTGGAAAACTCTTAGAAGTAATGAACAACTACAGCAAAGTTGCCGGGTATAAAATCAATTTGCATAAATCAGTAGCATTTCTATACTCTAAAAATGAATTAACAGAAAAGGAACTCAAGGTCACAATACCATCCACAATTGCTACAAAAAGAATAAAATAGCTCAGGGTGAATTTAACTGAGGAAGTGAAAGACCTATACAATGAAAATTACAAGACCTTTCTGAGAGAATTGGATGACGACATAAGGAGATGGAAAGACATTCCATGCACATGGATTGGAAGAATAAACATAGTTAAAATGTCCATTCTACCTAAAGCAATCTACAGATTCAACACCATCCCAATCAGAATCCCAATGACATTCTTTACAGAAATAGGATGAAGAGTCCTAAAATACATATGAGGCAACCAAAGACGCCAAGTTGCTAAAGCAATCCTGAGAAAAAAGTACAAAACGGGAGGCATCACTATCCCTGACTTCAAAACATGCTACAAAGCTACAGGAATCAAACCGGCATGGTACTGGTAGAAAAACAGGTGCACAGATTAATGGAACATAATTGAGAGCCCAGAAATAAAACGACACATCTATGGACAGCTAATCTTCGACAAAGGATCTGAGGGCATACAATGGAGAAAAGAAAGTCTTTTCAACAAATGGTGCTGGGAAAAATGGCAAGTCACATGTAAAAGAATGAAAATTGATCATTCTTTTTCACCATTCACAAAAATTAACTCTAAATGGATCAAAGACCCAAAGGTAAGACCTGAAGCCATAAGACTTCTAGAACAAAATGTAGGCAGTACACTCTTTGACATCAGTATTAAAAGGATCTTTTCGGACACCATGTCTTCTTGACAAGGGAAACAATAGAAAGAATAAAGAAATGGGACTTCATCAGACTAAAGAGCTTCTTCAAGGCAAGGGAAAACAGGATTGAAACAAAAAAAACCCCACTAATTGGGAAAAAAATATTTGCAAGTCATATATCTAACAAATGGTTAATCTCCATAATATATAAAGAACTCACACAACTCAACAACAACAAAAAACAACCCAATCAAAAAATGGACAGGAGAGATGAACAGACATTTCTCCAAAGAAGATATACCGATGGCCAATAGGCACATGAAAAGATGTTCATCATCAGTGATCATCAGGGAAATGCAAATGAAAACTGCACTAACATATCACATTACACCCATTAGAATGGCAAAAATAACCAAAACAAAAAGTACCAAATGTTGGAGAGGTTGTGGAGAAAAAGGAACCCTCCTACACTGCTGGAGGGAATGCAAACTGGTGCAGACACTATGGAAAACAGTATGGAGATTTCTCAAAAAATTAAAAATACAAATACAATATGACCCAGCCATCCCACTACTGGGTATCTATCCAAAGAGCTTGAAGTCAGCAATTCCAAAAGTCCCATGCACTGCTATGTTGATTGCAGCATTATTTACAATAGCCAAGATGTGGAAGTAACCTAATTGCCCATCAAGTGATGATTGGATAAAGAAGATATGGTGTATATATATATATATATATATACATATATAAGTATATATGTATGTATATATGTATATATACATATATAAGTATGTATGTATGTATATATGTATATATACATATATAAGTATGTATGTATGTGTATATATATATAGTGGAATACTACTCAGCCATAAGAAAGGATAAAATAATTCCATTCAAAACAGCATGGATGGACCTTGAGGGAATTATGTTAAGTGAAATAAGCCAGTAGAGAAGGACAATCTCTGTATGACTCCACTCATATAAGGAATTTAAACGTGGACAAAGAGAACAGATTAGTGGCTACCAGGGGAAAGGGGGTGGGGGGTACAAAGGGTAAAGGGGTGCACCTACAACATGACTGACAAACAATAATGTCCAACTGAAATTTCACAAGATTGTAAACTATCATAAACTCAATAAAAATTAACTTAAAAAAAAAGCAGCTGGGAAAAAGGAGGCAATAGAAGACAGCAAGAAGGGGTGAGCCATAGTTTATGATGAAAAAGAGAGGAGTATCCTGGAAGCTGGACTGACTGTGTATTCAGGATTATGGTAGACACCTGAATACATAATGAACAGGACGTGGTCTCTGCCTCTGCTCCTGTTTTAATTTGCTCCATGGTTCAACTCTTCAGTTAATGGCACTACCTAGTCCATCATGCCTGAAAACTTGGAGTCATCTTTTATTTGTCCTTCATACTCTCACATCTATTGGGTTAGCCACGTTTTACTGACAAAACATCGTTTTAAATTATAGCATACTAGTGGGAAAAGTGCACAAGTCTTGAGTATCTACCTCAATGATTTTTTTTAACAATCTAAACACACTATCATAACAACCCCCCAGATCAAGACATTCACTATTCTGGCTCTCCAGAAGCCTCTATCGTGACCCTTTGCAGAATTTGCTCCCACCCAAGGTAACCACTACTCTGACTTCTATCGCTGTAGCTTAGTTTTGCCAGTTTTTGAGTTCAGGTAGATGGAATTATACTCTATGTACTCCTTTCTACCAGGCTCCTTTTATTAAACATCCTGTCTGAGATTCATTCATGTTGTTACAGGTAATTGGTTGGTTTTTATATAGCTCTATAGATCTGATTATTATTGCATAATGCATTAGTTTTGGTTATTGATAACTGCATAACATGCCAATCCAAACTTAGTGGAGTGAAACAACAACCATTGTATTAGTCGGATTCTGTGGGTTAGGAATTTGGTAGGGAGAAATTGCCGTGCTCGCTGATGGTTGGGGTCTAGAATGATTTAGAGGCTCTTTCACTCACATGGATGGTACCTTGGCTGGGATGTCTTGAAGTCCAAAATCCTCTGGGGTCGTTCACAAGGGCACCTACATTTCCTGTTTTGAAAAGTGGCTGTTTTATTTTTCCAATGGTACATCTAAAATACAATTTCAATGGAGATGGAAACTTCTACTTGAAAGTTGCTCTACTTCTTTGCCACTTTTGGGACCCAGGTGACCTGTTCAGATAGTGTTCACCTATTGCTGATACAAAGGCTGTACTGGGGTTGGTGATCATGTATGACCAGAGGAAAGTTAATGTCACTATAAGATGCAGAGATTCCTTTGAGGATGGAGGACGTTTATGAAATGCTTGGTGAGCACAGTCTGTCTGGTATTGGATAAAATCACAAGAATTTGGGGATGAACTCCTGCCTCCTCATCCTGGCCCCTGGTCTTGAGATACCAAGTATAAGTGGACATGGTGTGCGTCAGGGCTTGTGTTGGTGGTCTATTTTCTTCAGTGCATATGGTTCATCTTCTGTTTGGGAACGAAGTCTTATCACCTGATCACCAGCATAGCAGTTGCTATGAAGGTGGCTGTGCCCTGGTTGCAGATTCTCCATGAGGAGATTCTCCATGAGGCCTTAGCTCTTCACAGCTTGTTGGCTGGCTTCCCTGAGCAAGCTTCCTGAGAGTGGCATGTCCTTGGAAGTCACAGCCCACCACTTCCACAGAGCAACGCTTCTATTCTGTTGATTGAAGTAGGTACACGCCTGCCTAGATTCAAGAGGAGGGAACCTAAACCTCACATATTTATGGGTTGTGACTCCAAGAATTTGTGGCCATTTTTTAAAACCACCATGAACTAGATACCAGAAGTGATTTATCCATTCTATCGTAGATGGATATTTGAGTACTTTCTACTTTGGAGGAATGAAGAGAATGATGCTCTAATCATTCTTGCTCCTTCCTCTTGGTTCAAATGTTTATATTTTAGTTGAGTGCACATCTAAGAGTAGAATTGCTGGTCATGTTGTATGTGTGTCTCCAGCTTTAACAGATAGATCCTGCCAAAAAGCTTTCCCAAGTGGCTGCACGAATTCCTACTCCTAACAGCAAAGTGTGAGCCTTCCAGTTGCCCTGCAGCCTGCCCTCCACTTGCTGCCATCGGCTCAGCATTTCAAATCTGTCTTTAACCATTCTCTGGTTGTATAGAAGATCTCAGTGTGGTTGAATTGTCATTTCCCTGGTACCTACTGATTTTAGCACATTTGCATGTGCTTGTTGGCCGTTGGGACACTCTGTGTTGTGAAGTGCCTGTTCAACTCTTTTGCCCAGTTTTAAGCAATTGGTTTCTTTGTCTTCTTTCTTACTGTAATGCTGAAGATTTTCTGTATTCTGCATGAGAATCCTTTGTTGAATATTCGAATTGGAACAATCTCTTCGCATCCTGTGACTTGCCAATTCCCTCTTGTAATATGGCTCATGATGAACTGAAAGTCTAAATTTTAATGAATCCAAGTTTACCGATCTTTTCTTTTATGAAGAGTGTGTGTATGTGTGCATTTGTGTGTCTTCTTTAAGAAGTTTTTGCTACCCTGTCATCCTGAAGATGTTTTCTTATGTTGTCTTCTAGAAGCTTTATTATTTTACCTTTCACCTATAGGTCAAAGTGTCCAGGAATTCAGTTTTGTGTGTTGTGAGGGTAGGGGTCAAGGTTTCTTTTATATGCATATGCTTATCTCTAGGAGTAATAACAGGCAGCATTGGGACAGGTGGACACAAGCCTGGGAGTTAGGGGTCCTGTATTCTCAGCTTTAACCTCCCTTTAAAGCACCCTATGAACTTGAGCAGGTGATTTTCCCAGTTCTCCCTCCTCTCGGGCTCCCTCCTTCCTTCCTTTTTTCCTTCTATCCTTCCTTCCACACTCCCTCCCTCCATTCCTTCCTTCCTTCCATCTATCCATCCATCTGTCCAGATATCAATCTGTCCAACTGTCCTCCTGCCCGTTCGCCTGTTTTTCCTTCTTCTCTCCTTCCATCCTCTTTCCTCCCATCTCTCCAACTTCTCTTCCTTGTGTGTATTCTTCCTGTTTTCCCTTTGACCCTCCATTTGTCCATTCTTCCTTTGTCCATCCAGGTATCCCCTCTGTCTGTGCCTCTACCTCTCTCTTTGTTCCGTCTCTCTCTTCAACCACACTCACTCTCTTGGGTTCATCTCCTTCACAAGCTTGCTCATCCCTCTACTCACACAATCCCTCCTTCTGTCACTCACATTTATGGCTCACCTGTGAATGGTTGTCCTTGGACAGCCACTACTGAGTGCAGATGAGCCTGTGGGGCTTCACCCACTGTGTGGGGGGCTCTGTCCCACCCTAACAAGAGCCCTTTCCACAGCTCCTGAGCCAGGAAGCAAGTTCTTGCCTACTTCCTCATCACCTGAGCAACCGGAAGCCACCACAGGCCTAGAAGGCCCCTCTTCCTTAGCCAGAGGAGCTCTCCAGCCCCACACCTCCACTGCCAAATTATCACTTGGGAGCTGGAAAGCCAAGGTGTGCAATTCTGCTTTTCGGGCAATCATGCTGATCACAAAGATTATACCAATAATCCAATCTGATGCAGCCCTCAGAGAGCCCCTGGTCTTGTGAAATTCACAGAACATTCTAATCGAAGGTGGGACGTTTTGAGGAGAAGCACTGGCATTGTTTGGGTGGGAAGAGCTTTGTGGAGGAAGTTTTGCCCAGTTGGGGTCTTTAAGAAGGAGTAGGCATTATATAGGGAAATAGGGTGTGTTTTGAGGAGCAATCCTCAAGTGCAGTTGGTGTTACTGGCAGGGGAGGAAGGAAGGAAGACGTGAGTGACATACTGGCTTCAACTTGGATGAGCACAGCGGTGGGTGGTGGTTCCAGTGGGAGCAAAGGCAACAGATGATAATGAGTTCAGGACACTGATCTGGTCTCAGGCCAGCTGTCAGTGATGGCCATCTCTCCCCATCTCTTCTTGCAAGCTATGGGGCACGAGCTGAAGGCCCTCACACTGAAGTTCAGCATCTCCAACCTCCAATATTCAACAGACGTGAGAAAGGGCTCAGCGACATTTAACTCCACTGAGAGAGTCCTGCAGTGCAGTCCTGCAGTGCTGGATGAGACCCTGGTGCCCGCAGCTCCTGGTAGGATGAGTCCCAGCCAGCCGCTCCCCACCTGCTGTCTCTCCAGCTCATCCTCCTCCTGCCTCCTCCCCTGCTTGGATCCTTGTTCAAGAAGAGCAGCCTAGGCCCCTTGTCCTTGGGTTGCAGAGTGATCTCCCTCAGGGAAGCCCCTTTTCTGAGCGTTGAGAATCACAAACGCTTTCAGAGACCACCCCAGTTTTCACTCTTCCCACTGACTGCCAACTTGCTCCTCCCTCCCTCTGGCCCCCATTATCAGAGGATTCAGGACATCTCTCTAGAGTCCCCTCATTCCTCTCTCCCAGGGCCTGTGGAGGATGGGGCAGCCACTAGCGTGGAAGCTGTCTGCACCTACCACCCTGACCCCATGGCTCGTGATGGAGAGTATGACAGAGACACCAGGTGACAGCAGCATTCCTGGGAGCTTAACCAGCTGACTCACTGTGTCACCCCGAGGGGACTCTACTCCCTGCTCAGGGACAGCCTTTTTGTCAGTGGTGAGTGTTCATGCTGAGCTGGATTGATAGTGATCATTACTTATGTCTGTTCTGCTTTATTTCCTCTCTAACAAGTCAGCCCAGGTTCTGATTTGGGGGACACAGAAACTGCATATGTAGAAAATTTCAATTTGCAACTGAAGACTGTGCTGCAAATGGATTTGTAGATCCCAATCATAAAAAAAAGTCAACTATCTTGGTAATAATTTGTATATAGATTACCTGTACAAATGATAATATCTTGGTTATAATGGGTTTAAATATACTATTAAAATTAGTTTCACGTGTTTATTTTTACTTTCTTAAATGTGGCTACTAAAAGAAGTTTAAATTACATAAGATAGAGTGTCAATTCTACTGTTGCACAGCACTCTTCAACCCATGAAAATAAAGCCCAAAGAAAGTGGTTAGGGACAATTTTTCCAAGGAAAGGAGTCGATCCAACCCACGCGGCAAGATGCAGAAAACAGTCTCATCACACACACACATACACACACATGCACACAGTCACAAAGCGAAAGCAACATCATCATAGAGTTGCCACACTACTTCTGAAGTAGCAAGAGATCGCACTCCTACATTGTCCTAAGTGGACGAACCTCAGGAAAGAAGCCAGAAGTCAAGAGAATTTACCAAAGAGAAAGATATGAAACCAGAGAGTAAATGTTAGGATCTTATGTGAGGTTCCCAGCGGTGGATTCTGTTAGTGATTCAATATGTTAGGGAGAACTTTGCTAGAAGGGTTGTAACAAAACTCACCTTTCCTTTCCTTTGTAGAAATATACAAGTTGTGTAAAGAATAATAGCTGTAGCCAACCAATGCAAAGATGATAGAACACGAATATCACTCTTGTAAATCACTCCTGGATTAGTCAGCCAGTCAGGGAACAGATGACAGTGGATTAATTTGGAGCTCATTAGGCTGATTCTGACTTCATGACCATCCTATGGATTGTCTCATGCCAGGACCTCTAAAACATGCTGCCGCTGCCACTCATTTGCCACCAAGGTCCACCAACCAGACCAGACCTTGCTGACAAATGCCCTGGCTGGGCCCCTTCCAAGCACACCTGGAAGACTCTCCCTAAATCCCACTCTGTCACGGCGCTCTTCCACCTACAACCGGCCAGGGAGACCTTCCCTCCAAGGCTGACACTGTGTGTGCCCAGTTCTGGGGATGGCACTTCTCCCTCAAGTGAAGAAAAGGATCAGAGGGCAGAGCCTGTGGGCTGCAACCATTAGGACAAGGCCTGGGGTTTGCTGCTAGAGAGAAGAGAACCTGTAGTGGGTGTGGGTCCTGGGTGCAAGAAGCCCCCGTGATTCCTGGATAGAATCCCGGAAGATGATGCAGGACAGAGGAGGGATGCTTGGGTGTGATTGTGCTTGGGAATGGCCGTAGGGAGGTGGATGTGCCATTGGTAATGCCTTCAACAGTGTTGATCATTCATCGATCCGTCCTGTCTCAGGGAGTGCTGTCTACATCCATCCAGGCACTAGTCTCCATTCTGGAGCAAAAAGATAGCATCACAAGAATGTTTCCATTTCATTTATAATGGATAGGTACAGTGCTTGTAATGTGCTAGGTGTTACAAGCAGTTTTCAAACATTAACTCCTTTAATACTCTCCATGTCCTTACAAATTAGGTACACTTATCATTCTTGCCAACACCAGATGAGGAAACTGAGGCACTGATGAGGTGAGTAACTTGCCCACTACCAATATCTAGGAAGTGATTGAGCTGGAATTTGAACATAAGATATTGTCTCCATATTCTCTGCTCTTAATCATGTTCTTTGCTCTCTAAGACTTCACACCATGAAGACGTTGGCTCAGCATATCCATTTTCTTGTTACACCCAGTAGCCCCATTCTTTGATCTCAGTCTGAAAAACTGTTGCACATACACACCAAAATGACTTCTCCCCATATCCCATGTCCTGGAAAATACATAGAGAACATTTCAAAGCCTTTCTTGCCCAGGCTGGGAGTGCTTCTGGGAAATTCCACTGTTCCTCTAAGGAGCCAAGGGAAGGCTGGGAGCTGAGTCTCAGGGGAAAGGTGACCTCAGGCGTTACCTGGAATTACAAAATGGATGGGAGGCCTCAGCAGGGACTGACTTCAGGATTGGTGGTGTTTGAAGCTGGGCGCTAATTTTCTGGCTGTGGGTGTAGGGGCTGGTGCCGCATTCCAGGGAGAAGGGATGGCTCCCTGTGTTCTTAGGGGAAACCAGACCCAGGAAAGAGATGAAATGATGGTTTCCATTCACAGTGGACTTGTGAGGGGAAACATTCAGCCCAGAAGAGACAGTCATGTTCCTGAGGTCACCGGAAGAAGCTGCCTCTGCGTCTGCTAAGCAGAAAGCCCTCCTTCATGGACTCACTTTATCCAAATGACACCAAGAAGGAGGAAATCATGAGATGACCTTGCAGATGTGAGATCTGTGACGTTGGACACTGTGCCTGGGAGCCCCTGAAAGGCCTCACAGTGGTGACATTTGCTATGAGCAGAGTGACAGATGTGAGGCACGCCTGCCTGTGTCTGGGAACAGTTTGAGTGTCAGGGAGAAGCCACTGCTGGTACAGAGACTCACAGGAAGAAAGGAGTCTGAGCAGAGAAGGGCAGAAAGGTGGCGGTGTGGCTGGAAGGATCCTGAGAAGAGAGAGGAGGGGAGATGGGGGCACGGCAGGGATGGGTGGCAAGACTGGCAGACTGCTTTTTCCTGTCACTCTCTGACGACATTGCTCCCAGACCATGCCCCTAGAAAGTACAAATCCTTAAGCTCTCACAAAGTGTGTGTGCCAGGAATGGGACATGGCTTAGCTGGGTGCCTCTGCCTCAAGGTCTCCGTGAAGCTTGGGCTGCGTCTCTATTGCGGCTCGACTCAGGGAGCATGTGCTCCCAAGTTCACTCACATGCATGTTGACAGGGTTTGTTTGGACGGAAAGCCTGAGTTTCTGCCTGTCTGTCGGCCGATCATTCCCTCCGTTCTCTCCTATGGAGCCTCTACATAGGGAAATTGAAAGCATGTGCACTTGCTCCCCCAGTTCCAGAGATATAAGAGGCAGAGAGAGAGAGAGATGGAAACAGGGGGAGGGAAAGAGGGAGGGGGCTAAAGAAAATGAGTAAGAAGGAAGGGCCAGGCTTTTTGTTCTTAACCCTGGGTTGTGTGCCATCCCAACACCTTGGCTGCATTCTGTTCAGAAGCCAGTTCCTGACCACTGTGTGGTTCCACAAGGATGTGCAGAGCAGAAGACAGTGAGCACTGGGAGCCGTGGCAGAGGCTGCCCTCCACATAGGCCAACATGAGGCACTTGGGTCTGACGCTAAGTCAAACAGGAGACCATGGAAGGTTTCATGCCAGTGACTGGAAATATCTGAATTTCCTCTAATTTCAACCCGTTAAAGGTGCAGACGTGGGAATGAGGCCCAGAGGGGCAGTGACTTTCTCAAGGTCCAAAAGCTACAACCCAGTCCTGTTTTGAGGGATACTCCACACGATATCCCACCCCTTCTTGTCATTCTTTCATCTCTAACTGTGTGCATCAGACACGCATGAAACCAGACCACAGGTGTTGTCACTACTATCTCTTCTATAGCTGAGGATGTCACAAGGGAGCTATTTCTGGTCTCGTCCACATTGTGCAGGTTGAGAGATTGAGGAGGCCCTGGGAGGCACAATGGCATCTCCAGGACACAGAGCTTCTAGGGAACAAGAGGCCTGAACTCAGCTGAACTCAGCTTCCTCAAGCTGGAAGCCTGGTTCCATCTCAAGGTCCTGTGTGGGGCTCTCTGCTGGCTAATTGCGTACAGTTCTGGAGATGACATGGGCAAGGAGGGTGAGTAGCCAAGAGCCCAGAGGGGTTTTGGGTGGGTGTGATTGAAGAAAGGGCCCTGGGTAAGGGAACCTTGAGGAAGTGACCTCACTTCCTTGGTGACAGAGCCTAACAGAACTTAGCATACTGGTCTCCAGGCACCCACATTCTAGACATAGCCTCCTATTGAGCTCACTTGAGTGGAGACATTCAAGAGAACAGCATGTTCTCCTGTTGTCTCCTGACTTGTCGAGGCTCTGGCTTCAGGAAAGCCAAGAAACAGAGACTTTTCAGTTGCTACACACATTGGCTTGGCCCTCACCTGCACCGCCTTTGGCCATTAGGTAACACAGGGCAGGCCAACTGGGTTAGGCCACAACGGGATCCCAGCCCCACACCCCTCTGAGCCTCCTTGTGTGTCAGGAGGGAGTGGAGTGAGGAATGGTGGGGCAGAGCGGGGACTCACCCTGGGCAGGAGCCCTTTGCTGGGTGTTCGCAGCCTGGCAGTGCATCGTGTTTCTAGCCTACGTGGTGGGTAGCAGGATGGGAGTGTGGGTGCTGGGGACCAAGCTCTATGCATATGTCAGTCCCAAGCCCTCTAGGTGTCATCTCATTCCCTCCCTGGCTGGAGTTCTGCACAGACACTGCTGGGTACCTGATCTCTGCTGGGGTTTCCTCCTGTGGCCAAGTCGCGGCAGGCCCCTCAGACCTCCCGGCCCGGCTCTCGGGCACTGTCTTTGCAGAACTGCATGCAGGAGGTGATCGAAGAGCTGGCGGATGGCTTCAGGAACTCCATCTCCCTGGATATGGGGTAGCTCCACTGCGCCACCATCAATAATCAGGGCTGCTCTGAGGTGAGAGTGGGCACGGAGGGTCTTCCCACCCAGGACCCTGAAATGATCATGGCCGGCCAAGAATCCAAACTCAAACTGCTGTTCTCCTGGGACCCTAACAGGGCTGTCCCCCCTGAGTGTCCCACAGTCCCATTCCCAAAGAATCTGCACTTCCGCTCCTCCCCACCAGCTGCATAGGAGGGTAGGAGGGCACTCTTTGCATTTTCCTAGGAAGATTAGAGAAAACATTGATGTCGTTGTCACTTCCCACTAGGCCCTGAGTATCTTTGAATTTTGCCTTTTTTGGAACATGGAACCTCGATAAGTAGGGTCTCCAAACTCCATTTAATGTAAGAGAAATAACTATCAGCGTGTTTTGGAAGTCAAAGGGATTCTCAGAGCTTGTCACTGCCCTGTACACTGTTTCCAGACTGGGGAGGCATGAGGTGGCCACATAACATTTCCCTCCAGGTCAGGGTCCGATGAAGCCTCAGGCAGTTAGAGGGGCAGGCCCTCAGCCCTCCCTTTGGGCGGTATTCAGTTTTGACCCACAGGACCTAGAGAAGCCACTTGGCATGCCTAAGCCTCTGTTCTCCTCTCTAGAGAGGGGGTGTCTGTTGAGGATTCACTGGGCTGGTGCTCTTCACAGAGGGAGGTCTGTTGTCCCTCAGAGAGCAAATGGCCTCGATGGAGCTCAATGTGTAATCCTTTGCCTGCCCAAAGTCAGGTTGTACTTTGAGAGCCCAGAATCTTGCTGAGTGTGGGAGCTCCTGTGTCTCCTGTTGCACATGTCTGGGAGGGGCTAGGAGTTCCTGGGTCAGCTGCAGACCTTGATAATGCTGGTGGTTCACAGTGGTGGCCCTGACCCTGCGTCCCTCCTCATCCTACCCAGCGTGAAGATGCGTCCACTGTGTCTGTAACGGAGGCCTGCAGGATGCGTGCCCTCCAGGCAGTCATGATGCAGAGGCTCTCAGAGTCTGTGGTGCCAGCCTTCCCTGGTAGAGTCCTCTGCAGTGTCACCACCTCCCTCTACAGCTACTCAGGCTCCAGCACATCCCACTAGGTCTTGGACCAGCTGTTTCCCAGGTGACTGCCCGCCTCGTCCTCAGCACAGTGGTGACTCTGCCCACTGCCAGCTTTGTGTCTTGTCTTGGGAATGTCACCACATCTCTCTGAGCCTGAGTTGGCTCCTCTGAAACGTGGGGTGGGAGAGGATGAACTTGCTAGGCTTCTCCCAGGGATGAATGGGCTCAGCCATCCAGGTGCTGCCCTGGTGCCTGGCTCTGCAGAGAGGGTGGTGGGCCATGCTGTGGTTGCTGGTGGTGATTATTTGTCTGTCCCCCATGGAAAGTAGTCTTCCTCTCCCTTCACTGGCTTGTGGCTTTTTGAGTTTGGAAAAGCACCTGGAGAGCACCCTGTCAAGGAGGTTGAGATGCCATCCAGCTGGTCCTGGTGCTTGTCCTTGATATAGCCATTTAGGGATCTCTGTGGACCCAGAGGGGCCCCAGGCCTATTCAGACACCTGGGATGGTTCTGGTTGGAGTTCATTCAACAATGTCTATGAAGGACCTACTGTGTGCAGGACATCTGGACACACTAAGTGTCACTCAATGAATGAAGCAGACAGCCTCCCTGGGCCTCCCCTCTAGTCTGAGAGTCAGACGGTCACACTTGACATCATCCCTAGGTCCCATCTACCCTACATCCCGGGCGATGCCCTCATCCCCTTTGGGACACATGGAGGCAGCTTGGCCCATTGTGTGCGGGATGCTGGAGGACAGGACCACCTCCCAAAGTGAGTGGTCTTTGGGTCCAGATGGAGGGCCTCCTGTCTCTAGCAAACAGGGTGGGGGTTGAGGATGGAGGCTGTGGCTGGGGCAGGCCTGGGAGAACCCTGCATCAAACCGATCTTGTGATTCCCATGGGAGGGCTGAGTTCTGGTGGCTTCCACTCCAGCAGGACTGGACTCAAAGAGAGCTGTGCATGGGTTCCAGGCCCCTTGAGAACCAGAAGGGAGGCTGGGCTGAGTTGTCTCCTAGAGACCCAATCCCAGCAGAGTCCCAGCTCCTTCTGCCTCCCTTTCTCCACATTCACCCCTTCTGAGCCCCACCACCAGGTCCATAGGAGGAGGTGGGTGAGCAAGCTGCTCCCAAATCTGCTGGAGTCTTCATTCCAGTGGCCCACGTGAATGCAGGGCTGGGGTGGGCTGTGTCCAGACCCTTGGGGAGGAGAGTGTCGGTGGGAACAAGAGACTCTCACAGACTCTGTGTTCAGCCTGCTGGATGAGTAGGCCTGCCACTGCCAGGAAAGCTAGCCGGGGCTCAGGGCTGGGGTGGGGCCCTCCTCTGGAGGGGGAGGGACTGGCATAGGGGCCAGAAGATGCTAACAAGAGTGCCTTGGGCGGGCAGTATTTAAGGAAAGGCCGGGCCACTGACTCTCTCGCCCATCTGCCTCCCCCCAGTGCTATCTATTTCCTGCTGGGAACCTGGCTGGGCCAAGGGCAGGATTGCAGGGAGTCCCTGCGGTTTCCCTGTTGGACCCTGCAGCTGGTCACTGTGCACGTCAGCTTTGGTGGCTCACACGTGGAGGGCCATACTTACCTTCTGCCAGGCCACCTGGAACACCTCAAGGCCATTGAGGCCGAACAGAAAGGTGAGGGGACTGGAGTCTGGGAAGACTGTCTGTGTTGAGGTTCATGGGCTAGAGTTCTCTTAAAGGCAGTGGAGTCCTTCCTGTCTTTGGAAAGGCAAAGAAACTGTCAGGTGTGTGGGTGAAACTTTCTCTTTATCCTGCTCCAGAGCCAGCTCCAAAGCTCCTGCCACTTCCAGAGCCAGAGCCAGCACCAGCCCCCAGGCTATCGCCAGCTCCCCCTCCAGTCTCACCACCTGTGTTGGGGCTGAAGGCAGCAGCCCCTGAGTTGGCACCTCCAGGGCCAGAGCAAGGGCCACCATTCAGCCCCAGTGCCAGCTCTTGAACTAGAGCCCACTGGACCCTGGTCTGTGACCACAGAGGACCAGCTGAGGGAGGAGAAGCCGAACCTCTTGGACTTCCCTCCCCAGCTGGTGGCAGAGCAGCTGACGAGGATGGCTGCGGTGAGCAGCGGAGCTGGCAGGGCAGGTGACTCCTGCCTTCCAGGTGCCATGAGCCGCCCTGCACCTGCCATTCCCGGCTCCAGAATCCCATGATCTGGGTCCACATCCCTGCTGCCTCCCTTACCAACACTGTGACCTGGGCAGTTTTCTTTCCTCCCAAGCCTTCGCTGTCCCCTAGCAAACAGGGGACACTAGAGACAGACACTCAGAGCACCTGCTGCACAGGGTGGCTGTGCAGATGAATGAGGTGGGAGAGAGTGGAAGGTGGGCAGAGTCTGGCCCTTTGGTGGGGGATGGGCTCTCACTGAAGTGCTGCCAGGTCCTTGGGTGGATCCCCTATCTGCGCAGGTGGCCTGGACAGCCTCAGCACTTATCAGGCAGGTGATGTGTATTGACTCCAGTGGAGACAGTCAAACAAAGCTGGGGATTGTCCCTGCCTCGGGGGAATGTGCATGGGAATGGGGAGTGGGACCCGAGGGGGACTGGGATGAGTAGATGATGGCCCTTCTGGTGGGCATGTGTGGGCTGTGTTCTGGAGCTTGGAGGAAGTGAGACAGGGCTGGGAGCAAATGGCCCCTCCCTCCCCCACAGTACTGTGTCCGGGGTCATCCTGGACTGGGTGCATTCAGTGAACACAGCCAAACCCAGGGACTCCCACAAGCCTCAGTCCACATGCTCTGCATCCTGAGCTCCAGCTCTGATCTCACCCTGCCTGGGCTTATGGGGGACTGTGGACACCGAGCTGGGGTGCAGCAGGGCCGGGTGAAACTCCGAATCTTCTTCAGGAGCTGTTCAAGACGTTGGTGCCCGGGAGAATCACCTTTCAGACAATCTGAGAGGGTAGGTCATCGTAATCTTCAGGACAACCTTAGGTAATGCACTGGTAAGAAATTAAATGCAACGATTAAGAAATCCATGACTAAAGATGTATTTCTCCTCAGATTTACATCAAACATTGGTCGCTGGGGTGAAGGGACCCCTGCTTCCCAAGTCTCGTTGGGCAAGGCTGATGGAGACCCCATGACCTTGTTGCTACACCATCTGGAACTCACGCCTCATTCCATTGCCGCTGAAGGACACAAAGAGCACCTGGGGCCTTACACACCCTCCTTTCTCCTTTGGCCTAAAAGTGATGCCCTTGGGCAGAAGTAGCCACACATCCATTCTAAAACCAAGAGGGCTAAGACACGTAGTCTTCTGTGTGCCAGAATGAAAGGAGAACTGGATGCAGTCCACCATGCTCTTTCTCTACACCAAAGCAGACAGTCACTCTCTCTGTCACATACAGAGTTCCCTCGCCCTCTTTCCCCAGGAGGACATCCTAAGACCCACTGAATTCAGGATCTCTGGCTGATCCTTAGGCTAACAGATCGAAGTGTTCAGTGGCCACACATGACAAAGAATACAGAACTTTCAGGATTGGATCAGAATATCCCCAAAGTAACTATCACCATCTATTGCAGTCAGCATCCCCCAGAAATGCTGGGGAGGGGGAGAACCCGATTCCCCTAGTTGTCATGTCATAATATTCCAAATGGTAAGTTTTCTGCCCAAAGTTCCAGGGCATACAAAGAGACAAAGAAGGATGGCTCCTACCTAGGTAAGATCCAAGAACAGAAGGGACCCCTGAGGAAGCCCTCAGGGGTGAGCACACAAAGCTTTCTCTGGTTGCTGCTGTTCACATTCCTGTGTCGAGCCTCTGTCTTCCTAAGCAGCAAGATGCTGAACACCTTTGTTTCAGGGTCAAGACAGAGTCAGAGGCCATGGATGCCGGAAATGGATTTGTCTCTTTTCTTCAGTCTTTGTCCCTGACTGTATCTACTGCCTCATCTTGATTTACAAGGAAAACCTGGGAAACCTACCAAAACAAATGTGTTTTGGTTCCTGTAGGAAGAATACAGAAAATATTGCCATTGTTTTTGGTGACGAAACTCAAGTTCGTGGAGCCACTTTCCACCTCAAGGTTAATTTTGTGCAGAAAAAAATTAAACATAGAGTTATCAATGACCTAGCACATTCATTTGGGATTTTCTGGCATCAAGGGCTGTGGCATCTGATCCGAACGTCCAACTGTGGACCATATTTCCCAAAGGCCAAAGGGCAGAGACACGCAGCTCCTATGTTTCCAGTCAAAAGACTCCATTTCCCAGCAGGCAGCGGGCGGGAGGGGCGTGGCTCCAGGCGTTTGTGAGCAGGCAGGTGGCCGGCGTGGGCTCCGCCCCTACGGGGGGGAGGGGAAACCATCCTGTTGGTCACGCCTCCTCACACGCTCCGACCCCCCCCCTTCCTCCCCTCGACCCCGACCCCGAGCCAATGGGGAAGCCCCAGACATCCGCGTCAGGCGTGGCGGTGCCACCGTGTGGAGCCGGTGAAAGGGGCTGCAGGTTCAGACCGGCGTGAGGGGCGTGCCTGACGCGGAGAGCCGGCAAGCTGGGGCCTCGCGGCCGTCCACGACGACCCGGTTCCCCTCAGCCCAGTGCGCCCGGGGGCTGTCCCGGCCAGGCCTCATCCCTCCTGGGCGGGGGCGGCCGGTCCAACGCGCGCCGCGTCGGGCGCTCGGCCGGCGGAGGACGGTTTGTGCCGCCCTGGCCCGCGAGGCTCCGGGGTCCGTGCGTCGCTTCCGCGGGGAGCCCGGGCGGGAGCGCTTTGACGGGGCTCCGCGGAGACGAGGAGGCCCTCGGAGGACGGCGGGCAGGGCCGCAGCGGGGCGGGAGGGCCGCTCCGAGGGGAGACGCACCCTGAGCCCGGGCACGGGTCCCGGACAGCCTTCCGGGCGGCGGCGAGGCCCTGGCCCGCCGTGTCCGCTGAGGCCTGCGGGGCGCTGTCCTCGAGGGCCGGGGCGCGGGGCTCGCGGGCTGCACAGGGCTCCTTGGGGCCTCCGTCCCCTCCGTCCCCTCCGTCCCCGCTCCCCAGCGATGGCGGGGCTGTCCTGGCGGCTGTCTCAGGCTCAGAGAGGCTGCCTGCTGAGCTCCCCGCTCTCAGGGGCTCGAGGGAGGGACAGCCGGCCTAGTCCGGGGTGGGGAAGGAGAGGGAGGCCGCCTGAGTCTCTACCTGCCTCCCCGTGACTCACCTGGTTGTGTCTCGCCTGGTGTGGACGCCTCCCTTCTCTCCCCAGCTTCCTGTCCTGGAACGACCTGGACACCCCGCATTGCTGTGGGAGGGCGGTGGGTTTGGGGGACAGTCGAAGAGCCTCCTGAGTTCTTCTTCTCTGCTTTACTGGGATCGCCTGTCGAGGCTGAAATTTGCAAGCATTGGAAGAAATACAGGGCGACATTTCTTTGTAGGTGTTCAGAGCGATGGCCCCTTACTTTTCATGCCATGCTGAGCAGGATGGTTTGGGGAAGGATTTGGTCTATGATCATAAAGCATTTTCAGAGGGAAGCAGAGGTATTTCCTGTCACCATTGGGTCCTTCTGGTGTTTATGGTGTTGCAACTGGCGTGTCATGATTGGCATTAAGTTTCTGGGTAGATAAGGCGAAGTTCCTCTGCTCCCTGGAGAAGGGAAGGTCGCTTAGGAGGTCGCTTAAAGGCTTTCTCTGCAGAAGGGGCCACAGGTGGTGTTCTCTGCCTCTTGAAGGTGCCCATCAGGTTCTGGGTCGGCACAGTGACCAAACTTTTGGACTTAATAACAGGTCACCATGTGAAGCACTCCTGTCACTTCAGCGCTAGCATCTGCGTGAACGCTCTGCACGGATATTTACAGGGTAACGGCTTGCTGTTGTGTTCAGTGCTGCAGCAGTTGTTAAGCTGATGAGATGATGCAGGGATGTGTCAAGCATAGAACCTGGCAGACAGCAAGTGAGAAAGGGCCCAGGAGGGGCCATCTGATCTTCGTAGAGGCGTGACTTCCAACACGATGACTCGTCCACGGAGGAAGGTGGATCGGTGCTCTCAGGCTGTTCTGTGATGACATCTAGGTGAGCACAGCATTTTCACAAGTGCTGAGGGGACGTGTGATGGTGTGAGGGAGCCTTTTTATTGGTAGTTACTCTGGGGGCATCAATAGGGAAAATAAGTTATAGAGAATGTAGTAACACCAAGTGCTGCCAGTACAGACTGATTCTGGAAGGAAACTCAGAATCGAACATCTTTCTCTGATCTGTCTTTTCCAGTGTTTGTGCTTAATCATGGGGCCTTCATTCCTCAATTGTGTTTCCCTGTCTTTCATGGTTTATTCTTTTTCTCAAACTTGGGGAATGTCTGTTTATCCTCATTCAAAACTTTGTTACTGCAGTCATTAAAAAAATCTTTTTTTCCAGCAATTAATGTATGGTAGGCACTAAACTTTATTCTGGATATTAAGTAATGACTAAGACACTGTTTATTCTCACAAGGCACTCATTGGCTAAACCTGATGGGAGA